CTCCTAAGTTTGAATTCCCTTGTTCTAAATATAAAAAAATTCGGATTTAAAATATTTTATTTCAATCCATATGGTGCTTATACTGAAGGGCAGATTTGGTTATATTATGGTGGACTGGATCAACCCTTAATGTGGTTATAGTCAATAGTTTCAAATTCAATTGAAGAATTAATAAAAGAAGCTGTATAATTAAGTGTATAGTTTATTATGCTTACAGGAGGCCTTCAGCTGAGCCAATAGCAACCTTCATTCTCCTTTTCCAATCCAGCTGAACTTCACTTGCAAATTGGCCATGCAGATGAGAAAGTAAGCTAAGATTTGGCATGTAATCATACACTATAAGCCGCTGATCAGCCCCAGCATAATAGCCCCTAAGACCCAACAAGTTCTTGTGCCTAACCCTTCCAAGAACTTCAACCTCAACTGCAAATTCCATTTCAGCTTTTGAATTCATTGCTTTCAACTTCTTCACAGCAATCTGAATTTAAATATATACTCAAACAATTATAACGTTACAAAGAACCATTGCTAAGCAACATGGGGTATATATTAATTAGTTTTTTTTTTCTTTTCAAAATTATACCTGCAGACCATCACTGGTTTTGCCCCAATAGACACTTCCAAACCCTCCTTCTCCAAGCAGATTGTCATCACTAAAACCATTGGTAGCCGTCTGCAATTCCTTGTACGAAAATATTCTCCATGACGCGTGACCTCCACCAATTTCACGAGTAGCCCTAAGAATTAAAAGCAAGCAAGCAACACTTAATTTCTTTTAACAAAACAAAAACAATCAATCCAAGCTAAATCATGCTAGCTGGAGTTATTAGGAGTTTACATAAATAATTAATTACCTAGTTTAATTTGGAATTGACATTTAGGTAGAGAAGAAGAAGAAAAATAAAATATTAAACATACCCTTCTTCATCTACCTTCTCTGAACTACAGCAAGCACTCAAGAAAGATCCCATGGCACTTGGGATAAGTTCTTCGAATATTGAGAGCTAATTATATTAAGCTAGCTTATGCATGCAAATGATGAAATTGATAAGTCTTTATTTTCTCTTAAATTAACCAAATCAGTTGTGTTCTGGCCATATATGATTTAGATGTGATGTAAGAGCCGACCTTGGCCGGCATGTCTTGAATATGAAGTTGCTTGAACGGCTGTAACTAAGAGGGAGACCATGATAATTAAATTAAAATTTCTTTTGCTACTTAGAAATTAATTAATATAATATAGCATCATGTACTAAAATAATATCTGAACTCCACGACAATAATATCTCTCATACCAAGCTGTGAATTACCGAGTATTGGTGGGATGGTCCGTCATCAGAAAATCATTCATGTTGCTCTTTGGCAACAACACTAGCTTTGAAATTAACTCAAACTTCATGTCTGCACCCTCAGTCCTAAGGTAATGGCATACTTCCTCTCGTTTAGGTTATTTTCTTTCTTAATCAGCGAGGAGGGTGATCAGAATCGGAATGAAAAACATTTTGATTACGAAAATGCCCTTAAACAAAATACGTATTTTTACCAAAAGACTACTACAACTTTTAAAATAAAAAAAAAAAAAAAAAAAAAAAAAAAGGGGATTTTTTGCATATAAAACTTGATTCCCTTTCACCCTTCTCCAATCCCACCTCCCCTCTCCGAAATCAAATCTCTTCAATATCAGGGATCATGAATGAGATTTATTGTGGGCCCCTCGTTTCTATTCATTTCGTCAGTATAAATAAACGAAGGAGTCCTCCGGAATGAGAATGACTCCTATTCTACCCATTCACATTCCAATTACGTAAACATGCCCTCAATCTTTACCTTCTGATGACTTCCATACAATGAAGGGTCAAAATAAAGTCTTGAAAAGGGATCACATATCTTTCAACCCTAGCATCAAGAAAAATCATTTTCACAATCCTATATATATTGTGAAATTTCCAATTGGCATTGATTGCCTCGTCATTGATCAGGTAATTAATTGCATTCATGTTCACATTGATTAGCATATTCATTTTTCTACCAGAATATCCTGTGCCTCTATATATTGCATTTGACTTTGAATTTAATGTGTTAAATATAGATGTAGAGTTCAAGACTAAGCAATCAGATACATCATGAAATCTCAAAAGGGTTTGCTTGACTTTTGCTTAAATTTTTTTACTTGAATAATTCTTTAACTTATTTTGTACCATACATCTTTATGAGGTATTTGAAAGGATCAGCAAAATCTCATGGGTTCAACTATACCTAATTTGCGTCAACTTATTCATCATTTGGTGGAGTATAATTTAGTATCGATATTATTAGAAGACATCATGTGTTCAAATTCTACACTCATGTATGGTCGGACAGAGTCATCACATCCATATTGGGTCTAACCATTCTACCAACCAAAAAGGTATAAATGAAAGCCAAGTTAAAGTTAGAGGTAGATTCTTGAAATATTGGTTGAATGTGTATTGTTTTATGTGTGTCACTCTTTCTTTGTTGTACCCATAGTTTTCCTAATAGGTTTTAGGAAACCCTATTTCCTCAATTGAAAGAGTCACAAATTCAAAGTCAAGCTATAAATAAATAAAAACCGTTGTTATATTAAACAAATCAGATTGCCTTCTCTTAAAATATGAAATTATTGGGACCAAGGGCATCATGCCAGATGGACCAATAACAAGCATGGTGATGAAAGATGGACCCACACCAATTATTAAATGTTCGAATTGATAATTTGAAATTAAAATTAAAATAAAATTTTGAGCAGTAAACGACATTCCAAGTGAGAGGTCCAAAAATTTGTTCGGTCCTTTTCAAGTGTGGTACGTTGAGTATTATGCATGGCATTTGTTTGATGAAGTTAATTATAAATCAATCAATGATCGAATATTGGAGCTTCCTCTATCTCACTTCGTTTTCTTTTGACTTCGGTAATTAGATTTTGTTTTAGATGTATTCTTTTGTACATGGATGGATTCGAGAACACTGATGTTGCCATCATTTTCCATTTGGATCTTACTGACTATCACCTCCACGTAATCCCATTCCCAAGCTAACAAGATGGAAAGATCTTGGATTTTATTTTCCATAATGTATTGGAATATGCCAATTCATAATGAATTTTCCATTTGGATCTTGTTCATAAGTATGTGCAGCATAAGATAAGCCTGGTCTAATATTAAAAGTGGACAAAAGCCCAGCCCATATGCCTTGTTCGAATTTGTGTTGTTATATGGCCCATTACGTAATTTGTAACAAGCCCCAAGGCGTCAAAGACTAAGGCATGATCCAATGCCAAGCCCACTCCCAACTCCATTCCAACTGAATACGAAAGAAAGGCAAATTCTTATGAGGCTCATTTGGTGCTTAGGATTGGATAGGATATGATAACTTCAAGCATGTTAAAGGATGAAATGAAAAAATTAAAATTTCGACCAAGTTCAAGGTAGAAGATGGATTACTCATGAAGAAATTTATCCTATCTAATCCCTATAAAATGGTAGGATATTAGCACAGTATTGATAAAAAAAAGCTTATACCTCATAATCTCCCAAACTGAAAAATCATTCACCTCTACCGTTATTTCCTCATTCAACATCCCTTAGATTTAGTCTTATGACTGTAGTCGATCAAAATTTCCAAACATTCTTTGCATCCATAATAAACTGACCTTAGAACGTGAGCTTCTAAATATCACTACTCCTACTGATATTTCATCAAAAGTTGACCATAAAAACGTTCGTAATATATTTTTCCCCAATGCTCTTTTCTTGGTTTTATCCATAAAAATCGATTCCATTAAAAACAACTAACCTTTCATTGTAATTACCATGTAGGGCTAGGGTAGGGTTAAGCAGTTGTTCGACAGGGTCCCTATCGAGCCATATGCACATATATATATGAACATTGAGTAGTAATTTTCAAACCTTTTGTGGAAGTAAAGAACAAACATTCACTTGCGCACATCTTTCATTATTCAAATTGGAATGTCATGATTTGACATGCCAGAGGTAAAGCAAGTGGCAATTATTGGAGCCATCCTCTATGAATCCACAAAATTTTCTTTTTCAAACAGGAAGAAAACATTTACAGCCACAAGAAAACCCAAAAATTGATTTATCAGAGACCTCCATCTACCACAATCAAATAATTTTAGTATGTCCAAACATGGGTTAGTGAGATCATGAGGTCTACAACTAGTGTTTGATCAATTTTTTAGTAGGGCAGCCAGGGGAGCGAGTATAAACATGATTTCCAGCACTTAAAGTGTGAAACAATGTGAGTGGTGTTTCAATCCCATTTTCTTGGCCTACAATACAAGGACATCAGCCAAAGAGCTACATGTCAAAGGGTGAAAGCAAATTGCTCTCCAGTCACTTAACTTCAGCTGCGTGGAAAACTTATAGTGAGGCCAAGTGTGCCATGTAGAAAGAGGCATTTGTTCAAGTTCAACATCACATAGGTTGGCTTCGTAAGGGATTTTGGAAGGGACTGGTAGCTCAAGTGGTTAAGAGCAGTTACCTTGCATCCGAGATGTTGTGTTCGAATCCCCTTCCTCTAATATCCCATGTATTAAAAATTGTTTGGACCTAAAATGGAAAAAAACCCATTTAGGTATTGCTCAAATTCGTAAAATTAAATACTCAAAGATATAAGCCCAAGGTCAAGCAAGCCAAATATTTCTAACTTTCCAAATAAAGCTGTTTATATTTCAAAAATGCTTTTACTCGGCTAATGGCGCGACTACCCAAATTAAAACTTGAATTTGACTTGAACAACTGAAGTGAGGTGGCAAAAGAAAGGTTGAGCAATTGCATTAAATGCGATTTGAACCGTGAGTCTCTCCTCAACCAACTTGTTGAAGGAAGCCATGCTTGGGTTACTTTAGAGCCATGTCAAGTGGTGGTGGCAGCGGCAACGACGGTGGTGGAGGTGAAGATGGCAGTGGTGGTGATGGTGGTGGGGGTGGCAGTGGTGGTGGTGGTAGTTGAGGTGGCCGTATGGGTGGTGGTGCTAACTGTGGAGGTGGTGGAGGTCGTGGCGGTGGCAGTGGTGCTGGTGGCGCTAATGGCGCTCAAGGTGGTGGTGCTGCTGGGGTTGGTGGAAGTGATGGTGGTGGGGGTGACAATAAAGGTGGTGAAATCATGTCTTGAGAATAAAATTGATATATGTATCAAAATCTCTGGGGAGAAGAAAAGATTTGTCATGACCTAAAATTAGTCTAGAATATTTTTTTGTATTTCCTTTAAAATCAATGAGTTTTTTAATACACCCAAACTTTTATAAAATATTTTAAAATCATGATTGAATACATCTAAATTTGAATGAAGTTAATGTTTTAATTGAATACATCTAAATTTTTGGCCATCCAAATTTAAAACTTCGTAGTATATTGAAAATACTAAGAGCATCCACAATGATGCTTTATATTTCTTAGCTAAAATTTGGCTAAAAATATAAGAAAGCTATTTTAGGAGCTCTCTAAAAAATTTCAACTTCAACCATACTCCCTAATTTGGAGAGTCAACTCTTTTTTGATTGGTCCATCTTTATTATAAAATAAAATAAAAAATAGTTAGCATTAAATAAAGGTTTGAAATACTCATTAAATAAAGCATCATTAAATTATAGGGAGCCACTAAGAGTCCTTTATCTTTCCTCAGATTTAGGAGCTCCTAGAGAACTCCCTATTTTAGGAGGTGGATAGGAAGTGTGGTTGGAGTTGCATTTTTACGATTCCTCCCTAAAATTTGTCTAAGGATGCGGTTTTATGGAGCCTATTGTGGATGCTCTAAGACAATTACATAATGGCCCTAACGATAAAACATTTCGACTCCACCCCCCTTCATAAAAAACTTTATGTCCCCTCAAACAATGAGTGGGCTTACGGCATGGTCTTCAACTTCTTAAGGTTGCTTAGCACGAGTGAGCCATATATCTTAGCCGACACAATATCTCTCTTGGGCCCCTTCAGGACTTGAGAAGTTTTGTCCATCTACTTGTTTCCGTTTTACACTATCAATTGTACACTTTCAATTTTTTTATACAGTCAATTTCACTTTATTGCCTTGGAGTTTACCGACTTTCAGACTTTATTACATGAAGTTTTTATTTTTCTCTCACGGACGTATTACGTATGGCTTATTGCACCAAAAGGAGATAAGATTTGCACTGTCTCTTGGCCGGCTTCGCTTGTCCAGATTTGAAGTAACTAAAACAAGTGGAAATGAGGAAGGCTTGCCTAAAACCCTAGTGGATATTGTTTGATGTAATAGCACTATATCTTACTAGCTTTCACGCTTACAACTGTTGAAGCATATATTTCTTTGGATTTGGTAATTAACAATGTCACACTTTAATGAAAATAGCTAGCCACATATTCTAATTTGTTTCCAAAAAAAGCAAAGCATCGAAATTGGTAGAAGATATTGCTGCTTCATATACTGATTGATCCAATGAAACATGTTCAGTGACCTCATGCCGAATAGAAGCTTAGTTTTCTATGCATTTCTCATACCTTTTTATCCAATGAAACGTAAAGTGATGAGCACTAATTGTCCTTTCAATCATGCCACTAAGTTTAAATTAGTACAACTGCCCATAATGATAGTTCTCTCGCTTATAAATGCACTAATTTGTCAAGATTCGAAACAAAAGGTTTAAAATCGAAGGATAAGGATGATGCTTTTGAGTGTGTGTAGTGAATGATATAAATGCTAACCAAAAAAAAAATTCTCTGATTTTCTTCCTCCAAATTTGCACCTGCAAGAACAGAAGACTTGTGCAAAAAAAAAAAAAAAATGACCTTTTTAAAGGAAATATTCTCTGTGTCAGAATTTAGCTAGCCACGCTTGATTTGTAGGGAGGGAAGACGAGAATTGCACATGCAAGAAAAAAGGCTAAAGAAAGAATATAAAATCAAATAGCTATAGCATCTTCTGTCAATCTATTTAACTTTGGCAAAACCCAAAGGTGAAAAAAATTGAGAGAATTCAGGCATTTACAGACACTTGTCACTCATTGAGTTTTTCCATGAAAGGAGAAGAGACTTTGAGTTTAGTACACTATACTATTCCAAAGGTCGTACCAGGTTCTTCATATTTTTTAGCTATATATTCTTTCTTAATGCTCGTACAAGTTTTATCATTTATGCTTTTAGAAAGAAAGAAAAGTCTGTGCCCAAAGCATTTCCTGCCTGCCGCATCTCTCCCTCTTTTTCTCTTTCTTGCCTTTTTAAGGTCTAATAGATTTACAACTGATATTTTGATTTTCAGTGATCACTATTACGCCTAGCTATCTTCCAAATATTATCCATCTCAATACGTATATGAATTGTAGTTTAATTTCTATCTCTGCACATTAGATCAGTTGGTGAAGATGGTGTGTCCGTCCTCCAGCACTGAAGTTTGATCCCTATTTTCGTACATTAGAGTTTACAATATCACTTAATTCAAAAAGGAAAAATAGTTTAAATTGCTTTGAAATTCAATTAACCTACACCAAATATTTCAAACGATTCATTTGGGTGGAGGCTTGGCTTACCCTTGAACCCAATTTTAGCAGTGCCCTTTATGAAATTCAAGCAACTATTTAATTTAGAAAGGTATTTTTTAGTGGCTTACTATTGAACGCATATATGACCAACATTTCCAATAATTGTTGCTTGCCATTATTTTCCATATCCATTTGTATGTATATCCACCAAACAACTAGACCACCCAATACTTTTGTAGGAGCAAGAAGCATAGCACAACTATACGACTAACTGTATTTTGCATTTGTTAAAGGATACTGCTTGCCTCCTTTCGTGTAAGGGAATACTCTTTCTTTCTGCTAATTATATTTTGACACATATGCAAAAATAATTCATAAAAAACACACACACAAAAACAAAAAAAAACAAAAAAACTTTTACACACATGTCGTACTACTATTAGCAAGAATGTAAGAGCTTCTACTTACTAAATGCTAAATACTAAATGTTAAAAAGGAAGTATTTTCCTTTGCTAAATACTATATGTATATTTTGTAACCCTACAACACAGAATGCTCAACTAATGCTCATTACACTGAATTCCACTCACAACACACAATTTAACTTTATTTTGCCTCACCACCTACACAAATAATAACATAACAAATGTACCCTTACAAAGAAAAATCAGAAAAATGAAAAGAAAAAAAATGTTCATAATATTGAAGTGGCCCACGAACCAAATCATATAGCATTTCATGTGGACCAAACAAATCAATATTTAATTAAGCTGGTACATCTAATTAGACCATGTTTATTAATTTCCTTCCATATGTATAATATATTGCATAAAACGTTGTGGCAACAAGGGGCATCAAAAATTAAAATAGAAAGAATTTTAACAAAAATAAGAAAATCTCATCGGGCATTTGCAAGCAGCAACCTGACGCAGAGACCTACATACATCTGCATAGCCCTTACACGTGCCTTTCTCTTCCATGGCACAAACCATTTCAGCCCACCACGTTGCCCTTAATTCTTCTTCTCCGCACACCAAATTCCACACACATACATCTGCATATATATATTTTTTTCTTTTTTTCTTTTAATTCTCATAACTGGTTTCTGGGTTTGTCAAAAACCAGCTTCAAAACAATTAACCAACGCGAAAAACAAGAACAAAAAGGCCAATGTTATTCCCACTTTTAATTTGTGGTGTTGCATTGTTTTTGAAATCTGTGGGTGCTTCAAAAACAACTATAAAAAAAAATACTGAATTTAAAGTGCAAGCTGAGAAAAGAAAAGGCAAAGTTATAAGGAGAAAAGGAAATTCTTCCATTTCATCTCAAATAAATATACAGCTCCCGTGAAGAAAAAATTAAGAAAAAAAAACAAAACAAAACAAAACAAAACAAAACCCCCCACACCTAAAATGACCCAAAACCCACAAACATTAATTAATTAACAGAACTAATTAATTAATTAACGGGTCTCTGATCCGACTGATCTGAGGCCTCATGGCCATTCCCTCTGCTCTCACTAGCCTGTACCTGATGATCATGGCCGTTTTCTTGCTTCCCAACCTCACTCATTTCCACCGACTTCTCAGACCTTTCGCTGCAGCTGCAGCTGCTGCTGCTGCTGCTATTGCTGCTATTGTCGCCGAAAGAAGAAGACCTACTTGACATGGGCGTGGCCAAGAAAGTTGGCTTGGCGTCACCAGCCATGATTACCAAGATTTTCTCCTCGAACACAGGCGGGGCCTTCTGGGCCGTCTCGTCGCCTTTGCCGCCTTCTCCGGCCTCCAGGTCCGGCTCCGATCCGGCGCCGTTTTCACCGCTCTCGAGGTAGCCGGAGAGCTTCCAGTAAGAGCAGGCTAAGATGAGAAGCGCGAAAGCGATTAGGCCCAGCATGGCTGCCAGGCCGCCGAACAAGTAGGGCACCGGGGAATGCCATGGTGACCGCTGTGATGTCACCGCCGGTGCCCTGGCTGTTACGTTAAAAGGCTCTCTCCCTGCCATTTTTTAGTTCAATGTGTGTTTGATGAGCTTAATTTTGAGCTAAAATGTGTTTTTCTTTTCTTTTGGCTTTGGTCTGAAGAGCTAAAAATGTTAAGAAGAGAAGCAAATGAAGCGAGAGAGAGAGAGAGAGAGAGAGAGAGTAGATGATGTTGTGGGTTGAGAAGTGGGGGATGGGGTGGGGTGTTATATATAGACAAGAGAGGGTGGTTTAATTTGTGGCAATTTTTAGTTTTAGTTTTTTAAAAATTAGTTTTGGGTGGTGATTAATGTCGTCATTTTGCATGAGGAGAGTGGGGCACATGTGGGTCCCTCTTTGTTCTTTGTTGGGATATTTCATTCATCTATCTATGAGCACAGTAAAAACGCACTCAGGGGCAGGCTTGGTATTTGTACCAAATTTTCTTTTTCATCAGAGAATGGAATCATGGGACGTTTGGAAACAAAGAAACGAAAAGAAAATAAAAAATAATCTATTTTTGCTGAGGAACAAACAAATGTGTTATCCTACCGTACAATAATGGTACACCTTACACGAAATCACCACCTTAGAAATTATACATGTAACACCGGGACGAGTCATTGTGAGTCGTTAATGTATGGAGAAACTCCCTATGTGTAAATAGTAAGTAGTAATAAATTATACGCGCGAGCGATTGTCCCTAACATTTTATCGAGAAATGTGAAAAAGCAGCGCGGCAGTTACATTTGTAGATTGAGGCAGGTAGGGCTTTTGTAACTTGTTTGATGGGAGTGTACTGTTGTGTGAGTGTAACGCATGGAAGACCCAAGTTGGACGAAAATAATAGGAATATTTTATTACAGAACCCGAGGGATATTATGAGAAAACCGCTTCTTTCATTTCATCATGGGGCTTTGTCATAATGTGAATCAAGTTGGGTGACGAGATGATGTATGTGATCATATGTTTTAGGAATGTTTTATCGACTATAACCACCTGACGAGGAGGAGGACCCTACAAATGAAGTAGATGAACATAATTGCCAGTCGGATCTGGCTGGCTAGAACAAGTTTTAATGGAAATTAGAAAAAAATTGAATAATTTTTTAACTTCTCTCATGTTTAATTAGACACAAGAAATCATTGATACCTGAGTTTCACTTTAAAATCTTTAATCAAATATCTAAAAACCAGTGATACGATCAACCTATTCCTCCTAGCGGATATGAACATTCCTTATTTTACATATAAGTAAGCATGCATCTTAAACTTAAAAACTTTAGACAGAGATTAAATAAGGGCTCAAGTCGGTTAAAAACCGGTTTGTAAAGAAAGGGTGCCAAGAGCTCATATAATATACAGATGTACTATTTTTCTAATATGTGATATTGGGTCTTGACAGAACCACAATGTCTAGAGAGAAAATGGTTATTTTCTACATAGAATCGCACAATGAAGGCATGAATTGCAATAAATAAGATGATTTGGATAGGTAGCCACCCAATATTTCTAGAATTCAGGCATCATGGTAGTTGTTATTTTAGTGAGTGCGTAGGACCACATCATGACATCAGAGACCATCCAACAGCTTGGTCCCACTGGGCCTTTGAGAGAGAGAGAGAGAGAGAGAGAGAGAGAGAGAGATGTTCCTCCTTTGATTCATCCTTAAAGATTTGATCTACACCATACAAACTATATGCGGCGCATGCATATGAAACCATGAGATATATATATACTCATGTAGAACCAGAAAATAACTCACATATCCATCTTAACATGTATACTTTAATTTTCCATAATAAGGGCATTGAAACAGTTTCAAGGGGTTCCAAAAGAAAAGAGAAAAAGGGAGGGGCCAGTTTAGGAGCGACCCAAGCTATAGCCTATAGCCTATATACTTTTGGCCGGGGAGAGCAAGGAAAACGAAAATGCAAGAAAAAGGAAAAGCCAGCTTTAGCAATGGGGGGGCAGTGCACCAAAACAATGCAGAAAAAAACAATAAACTGTTGCCTTTTTTAAAAAAATGGATAAATAATTGTAATAAACCTAGAAAACGGTTTTTGGCTCATGCAACTTTTAATTTGATTCCAGTAATTGCTCACACGCAATTGGCACTTCCCACCCTTCTTTATTTCTGTGTCTTTTTTGTGACTTTTTAAGTTAAAGCATCAGAAAATGACAATTGTTTTCTTCTGTCATTTGCATATTCTTGTGTAGGTTTCAAGAAGATGCATAAACAAAAAGATGACACAAATGATTTGCGTATATGGATGTTGTTTGCTGATTTTTCTTAGCCTATATGTAATGTGTATGTATATATGGTGAAGAACATCAGCATGACTCAATTGGTTTTCTTAGCCTATATAAACAACTGATCAAATAAAAGGGAGAGGGTGGATGGACTCTGGGACCCAACAAGAAACTGGGTTCTCCAAACTCTTCCTTCCCCCCACTATTTTATGTTTTGCCTTCTAGTGGCGAGTCTTTTTGTTTGCAAACAGGCAATTGCATTAGTGCTACCCAAAAGCTAAAGGTTGTGGTTACGTGAATTCTACACACAGACATTATCCTTATCCTCCGTGCAATTTAAGAAATTTTTGAACAACGTACTCTTCACGATAACTAATCACATGATCAACATCTGATTGATGGTTGCTAAAAGGGCTCGATAGTACTCACTAACTCCATTAGATTCGAGGTGATTGCCATTTAATTGCCAATTTCTTCCTTAAGAGCTGCCCTCAATATATTTGACAAAATGCGTTAGAGAGAAATTTTTGTGAGAGGGAAAATGTTTGAGAACTTCATCTTAACAGGAACATCATTTGCCCAAGTTCAACTTGCATACAAAGAATTTCAGCCATGACTTGGATTTTACTAATTAGTAGATAAATACTCATGGGCTCCCAATGCAATGATATGTGGGCTAATTTTTTTACGTGTTATTGTGTTATTGGTCGGAGATAACAAAATAGTATTATCCCTGTTACAAGAAAGTTTTTACTTCAGAATGAGTGATGAGGGTCCCACTACCCTTCCATCGTCACCTTCCACCACCCAACGTACACGTCAAGGACAATAGGATATTCCACCCTAGATGACACGTTCAACTTTATTCATTGCTTACAATTCTATTATTGCAATTCTTAGTCTCTTCCACTAGGATTAAATCTTATCTTATTACCTGGTTACAATAAAGGGGTTAATAAGAAATAATTAGGAGGAACAAATCCAAACCAAATCCCACTCCAGAAGTAGTGATCATCATCCATATATATGTTGTGGTTGGGCCATACCATCTTTATTAATATTGGGAAAATTTTGTTAAAGTATATTAAACGTACGTATCTCTCTCTTTCTTCTAATAGGTTAAACTTGTGTTCCTTTTATCTTGTGTGAATTCTTGTGTGGTGTGTTAATGGCATATGTTTCCCACTTCTTCTTGTGCTGTATGTTTCCTCCTTTAAGTTGGCATTGTATTTATAACCAGAACAGCGTCGTTTTTAGGGTTTTAAGTTTGTCAATCATTTAAGATTTAGAGTTTAAGTTAATGATCATTTGCTCTATTGGAGTTTAGCATGGTCGTTTCTAAGATTTTGGTGCCTATGCGAAAATTATAAGTGAACATACTAAGATTTTTTTTGGACAATGTATTGATGCTAGATAGCAGAACTTATAATTAAAACTAATCTAAACTTTACAAATAATTCATCATCAATTAACAAAATCATCATCAACATACAAATTATCATTAAATAATAAGAAAATGGAGAAATAGCATATGAATACGAGAATTATATATATATATATATATATATATATTTGAGTTGAGTTCGATATCTAATTATGACTCATCATTGTGGTGAAATAGTTACGTTGATGAATTCTTTCGTTTAAAATTAATCTTGTAAATATCATATCTTTGTAAAGAAATAGTTACGTACATATCCAGATGATTAACTCCGATGTGGATTTGGCACCACGTGTGGCTCACTATATGATGGTCCTACGTGAATGGGCATGTTGAAGAATATAAAGTCTCACATCGGAAACTTGACTATATAAATTAATTACAACTTATAATAAGTGGTTCCACTCCTAATAACACTTAAGATTTTTTTGTGATAAAACCCCACCTACTGGGCTTTATAAGTGGTTAAGTTGGGAACAATATCGATTTTATTTGTAGTGGGCTGCTGCCCCGTTTTTCCGAAATTCAACAATTTGACCAAAGAAACACCATATCTGGCAGAAAATTAAAGAGAATATATGTCAACTGCTCATTGATGTTTGAGGGTTTAACATGTCTGGAAAGTATAAACTCTTAGAGGAGAAAATTGGAGTTTGTCATAAAGAGGCTTTAAGCATAAACCAGAATATATTGATCAGAGCAATCATTTTCAATTGGAAAAGTTTGGAGAAGGGAATTATTCATTATGTTGAGAGGTGTATATATCAAAGATCCAATCATTGAGTGCCAACAGGAGATTCAGATTAATCTGAGTTCATCAATCAATTTTAAGTAAAGTTTGAAGCAGTGAAAATGATTAAGCAAAGCTCTCTAATTGGTACTATCTATCTAGCTTTTGTCTCAGAAAGTTCCACGTTGGTTGAGTAGCGTATATAATCTTCTTGTCAGCTCACGTTGGCATGGGGATAAGCTTTAAATGAAAGTTACACTTGTTTCTTTAAGTCTTTTTTTTTCTTTCTTTTCTTTCTTTTTGGGATCGAATCCAACAGTCATGGCTCATGACATTGATGGAATAATCTCTTAAAATTAAGTATGAGAATTAATTCCATTTTACGTGTCGATGTTTGGGACTTTGTTGGTAATAAATTTAATACTTGATTGAAGAAGTGGGATTTCCACCACCGTGATTTTATTTTATTTTATTTTCTTGCTTAGGATATATTATAATTAATCAAATTGTAAGGAATATAATTACGTACTTCCCTCTAAATTTTAATCAAAGGCTATGCACTACTTATAATTAATCAAGCCAGCCAGAGGATTAGGGGCCATGCACCTATAAATTAAAAGT